TACCTATAAAGGATGGTTTTTATGATTCTTGACCCATATATATATATATATATATATGTGTGTGTGTGTATATATATATATGTATTATATTTTCTCTACTTAGCTTGTTAGTTGTGTCTTTTTTTTTTTTTTTTAATCTAAGCAGCTGTGTAAGGGATAATATATCTTTTCTTGAAAAGAAAATACTAATATATGATAGAACAAAAGCAAGTTCCTAGTCCTAAGGAGAGTACCGAAAAATGGTTCAAAAACAAATTTATTTACCAGTTTTTGGCTTTTGGTGTACTCGTACATCTAACTTTTGACATAAGAAAAAAAAAATAAGAACAATAAAAAATAACGATGGGGCGACTGTGTGACACATACATTGTGCAGAAAATTTTGGGCCAAAAACAATGATTAAAGCAATATAGAAATATAAAGGTATTTGTCAAGAAGGATTTAAAAATAGCTATAGTGAGAAAGTGAACCCTCCAATTCTGAAACTATTTTAATAAAAAGATATTAACGTCGTCAACCAAAATCTTTACTTACGTACACTTGACAATCAGATATAGGTTCAAAGCCTCAGCTAAGATTGGGCTTTCTGGGCCCCATTGTGATATTGATGAATTTTTCATGGGCCGTCCGTTTTATCTATTGTAAAATGAAATCTTTGATCACATGCACTTAAATAGTCCAGAAACATCCAAACAAATTGATTGTTTAGCATTAATCGAATAAATTAGCTTGATGGAGTTACAAACTGAGACATGGGACATCAACCACTACTGGATTGCCACGTAACTATGTAATATCTTTTGGGTTTTTCAAAATGATTTTAAGGAAATGGAAAATTAAGGACAGATTCATGCCGGCCCACAAAAGTTTTTTTTTTTTTTTTTTTTTTTTTTGAGTAGATGATATATGATTTGATATTTGGTTCCTATCCTAACCTATCAAACCTACCCCCACTAACACTAACAAGGACCAGCACTTCTTTGTATAGGCATTTGCTCTTGATGGTTACCAATTTGAGAAGTACAGATTATTCATCTTCCTTCTCTTCTAGTTTTCAGTTTTCTTTCTTTTTTCAAAAAAAAAAAAAAAATGCTACTCATATATTACATGTTACTCAAGTTCACCCAATAAATTTTTATATAACAAGACTATAAGCTTGGGGATTCATTTAATTACATGTTTAGTCTAATATGTACTTTGAAGTGAAAACTTAATCTTATTATGTTGAAGAATTAAATTGATTTATGAGTAGTACTAGAGTTAGTGCTTTGTCTATCACACATTTTACTGAACGAATAGTAATGTTGTTACTTTCTAACCGCATAGTGTCAAGCGCACATTAGTGTTTTCTACTTGCATGGTAAATTGTTAATTTGTAGAAAGAAGCTCTTTATTAAGGCTAAGGGACGTTTGTTTCCTATATTCGTTCATGATTCTGAATCATAATTCATGGTTCTCTACAGTATTTTCTCTCATAAAAAATACACGTAAAACAAGAATAGTTCTGAATCATGATTCTGAATGCATAAACCAAACGTCTTCTAAAAGTACTTTTACTGAGGTAATATATATATATAGAAAAGGTCTTTAGTCCGGCATCAACTATTTACCTGACTCATCCGGCAAGTGATTTTCAGCCATTCGATGGAAATGGACGAGTGGGATTCATCACGTCCTTGCAGAAGCATTCGTAGGTTCTAGCTTCCGTACACTGCAAGTGGTAGCTTTTATTAGCCATGTGTTGAACGAAGAGAAAAAGGAGAAGGAAGAGTCAGGTTGGCGGCCACATGTATATGTGAGAGACAAGGAATGATGTGAGAGACAAGGGAGATGGCTGCAGGGAAAAAATATATTAAAAAAATGTGGAACCCAATTTCAAACAAAAAAAAAAGCTCTTTCTTTGGATAAAGCAGAGAGAGGCTTGATTAGCAAAAAAAAAAAAAAAGTGTGAGGCTTAATCGTTTATGGAGGGGGAAAGAGCTTAATAAAAGCATCAGCTTTTACAGTTTTACAGTAGGCGAAAGAGCCATCCATACCACCTTAAGTTCTGAAGTTAAATTGCAAGTTTAACAAAAGAGGCGAGCACTATTAGTGAGCCAACAATTGATGTTGGTGCCAGTTTCCCCAGTGCTAATGTTGCCATCTTTGAAAGCCAGTTCAAGACAATAGTCACCGATATATGCGTGATTATGTGAATGGTGGACAACTTTAAAGAGGAGGATTGCTCATTGACTATTTGCGGGAAGACATTTGTCCTCACAACGGAGTTTTTGGTAAAATTATGGGTTTGTTTGATGGGGAGGAAGACTTCGAACAACAAGACACCGATGAGAAAGTGATTAATTGAAAGAAACAAATCAATAACATGAAATACAAAAAATCAACCAATATACATATTAAGGATGAGTCTCTAATCCGGCACATCAATTTTACCTTACTGATCCGCTCAAAAATTGTGGCCACCAAATTAAAAAATGGATGGTGTAGATGAAAAGTTTATTTTCATGTGTCTCTCAAGCGCACTCCCACTTTCACAACCAAACCCATTTCTCTCTTGACCTCCATCGACCTCCTCCGCAGCCATCTCGCTGCCGGCAACTTCTGACAGATGGACAAGGAGACCCACCGCCTCACGACAACGCCCGTAACTAAACTTTTTTTGGTTGATTAATCCCTGAACTTTGTGTTTTCCTTGAGCAAAACTTTGGATACTATTAATAAAAGGAATGATGATTTTAAAAATTTAACGGTAATTACATATGCTCATCGCGTGATAACTTGAAATTTTACAGAAAAATCATATAAGGAACACAATATTACCTTCAATGCTAGTTAAAACATTTAAAAACCACAACATTGTACTTCTATAAATATACAAGACTTATGCTGAATTGTACAACTGTCGTATGCAAATATACACGACATAGGATGAATTGTACAACTTGTCGTACAACTTATACATCTTCACATGTAAATATACAAGACTTATACTGAATTGTACAACTTCCATATGCTAAATTGTACAAGGCATATACTAAATTGTACAATGTGTAAATATACAAGACTTATACTTAATTGTACAACTGTCGTTATGTAAATGTATAAAAAATCTCTAAATTGTACAACTATCGTTCTGGTCAGGCAAAAGATGCCTACCTAACCAATGACTTTGCATATATATATATATATAATATTTACATGTAAAGATGTACAATTAAGTATAAGTCTTGTATATTTACACGTTGTACAATTCAGCATATGCCTTGTACAATTTAGCATATGGAAGTTGTACAATTGTAAAGATGTATAAGTTGTATGACAAGTTGTACAATTCAGCATATGTCTTGTATATTTACATACGGTAGTTATACAATTCAGCATAAATCTTGTATAATGTCTTCCGTCGGATTAGTCAAACAAATAGTGCCTACCGGACAAAAGATATTTTATATATATATATATATGCGCGCGGGCGTAAATTGATTGAGCTAGTAAAAATAAAGTGTTAAAGGGAGAGCAAACTTGGGGGAGGTAGATACAATAATAAGTAATTAGTGGCATAAGCGCAATTTACTTAGTTAAAGTAGGGGAATATCCATAGTGTGTCCTTGCAGTTGTGCATTAAGTAACAAAAGAAAAAAAAAAGTTATAAACAAAAGATAAAGTCGAGAGTTAAATGTAAACTTCAAAATCATATTAAAAAATTTATACTTTTAACGAAAGTTAATTAAATGGGAGTGACGTACGGACCCCTAATTTTATTATAATAGACTGATTGGATTACGTCTTAGATCACAACTTGCTGCCCGGTCCCATATATATCCTCCCTCTCTAAATTTAATTATTAAAGTCATTAGCCATTATTACGTTTTTGCTGAAAATTAATCACTTTAGTTATTTATATATACACGATAAGTTCTCTATTTTCTTTGCACTCAATCCAGAAACCAATCAATTTTACTCGACAAAAAGGGGAGGGATAGTTTTACACTCGTACTTGCTTGAGTATATATAAACTATATATAAAGGAACGCGCATATAATTCACCGCCTGCGGTGACTCCTGTCCGTGGCTTTTTATTTTTTTATTTTTTTATTTTTTATAGTTATTATTTAAAAATTGTTTAATTTTGGATAGCTTACATGTAGATCCGACAACTAACAATTTGACAAACATTTTTTTTTAAAAAAATTGATATTTCTACTATAGGACTTTTGCAAAGAACATTTGTGAGTGAAGTCATTGGCCGTGCTTTTCACGGTAAAATTATATGCTAAAGGCAGGTGGAATCATACGTCAAGGAGAAGCTACTTCAAAATATTAAATATTGCTTAGAGTAATGATTGTGGCATGCCTATTTTTTTTTTTTTTTAATCTGTATGTTATACATGTGTTATATGTTAGGGACAACATTATCCCTTGGAAAAGTCGTTTACAAATGTCAAAACGCTCAACTAGATTGGAGGGCATTTTGGTAATTTCACACCGCAAAATCCACTTCAATCTAATATGTGTGTGCTTCTACTAATCATCGTCAACGCTAACTGTAGGATATGGAGAGTTTGGCGTTGATCATGTCTAAAGAAGTTTTGAGTGCTATTGAGCGGAATGGCATTCTATGTGGTTGATATTATTATAGCTTATAATTTGAGAAAGTGGAGATAAATTAAGTAAAAGACTCGTATTATATTACCAGACAATAACAAAAGCAACAAAATGCTTTAACTACTAATTAAAGACATAAAAAACATTACTGGCTAGCTAGCTTTGCTAATCTCTTTTTTTTTACAGAACAATGATAACCCCCGGTTGCTCATGCAAAAAACCGTCATTATCCCAAAACAGCATTTTTCTTCTACTTCTTTCTTTCAACACAAAAATGACCAAAAAGAAAGAGCCCCACCGTTAGCTAATTTTACCATATTTTATATATATATAATTTACATAGAGAGAGAGAGAGAGAGATAAAGAGACGTGATTCTTTTGTTCTTGTTTTAAGAATTTAACGTGATCATTTTTTTTTTTTTTAATCATCGTAATTCTTGTTTTAAATAATTATGTGATTAACGACGGGGTCAAACGACAGTATTGCATGGTGGCCATATCGCAGGAGGAAACTGTTCGAGTCGCCGGAAAAGCAAAATCTGTCTTATGTCGTACAACTTCTGCCGTAGCACGGTCTGTTCTGCCCGGAGGCGGGCGTTGTCCGTACTCACGCGGTGGACATGGTACGACACGTACCGCAACCGGTTCGTGAGTTCCCGGTTCTCAACCCTAAGCCGGTTCACCTGGTTCCTTAGGTTTTCTAAGTGCTTTTGTTTTCGCATCCTCGACCGCCTCGCCGACTCCCGGTTCGATAGCATCCGCCTCCGCTTCCGCTCGTCCACCACTGAAACCCGCCGGTTCGGCTCGTCCGGACAGGCCTTCGGTTCGGCAGGGTTAGTACTGTTGTCCGGTTCGTCCGAACCGGAACCGGACACAACGGGATTGGGTGATTGATCCGGGTCACCCGAACCGTACGAGTTCGAGGTGATGGCCGGTTTGGGGGATTGGACGGCGGTGGCAGCGGCGGCCGGGAAAAGCTCTTGGCAGTCCCATGGCGTGAATCCGCCGTCGAAGGAGGGAAATGGGCTTGCGAGGAATGGGTCGGAGGAAGGAAAAATGGAGGGAAAAGTGGAAATCATGGCTTCAGTGCTTCAGAATTTCTGTAATAAGGAAGGGAGAGAGAGAAGTTGGGGAAAAGGGAAGAAATGCAGCGCAGGATACTCGTATTTATGGTGGAAAGTCATTGGAGAAATTTAGTAATTAAGGCTTCAAACGAAGGGTATTTTCGCCATGAATCGTACATGTATGGAGGCCGTATATGTATGGAGCTTTGCTTTTGAGTCAGGTGGCACTATGGTTTGAGGGGCCCAGTGACGAGCTTACTTTTTAAAGACATTTGGGGGGTGACATACCCTTGTGGGTCCCACTGAAGAGAATGGGTTTAAGCTTAGTCACGAAGAAACAAACACGGCTGGGAGCCACTGAAACCAAGTGTCCTACTTTCATTGGAGGTATGTGTGAGTAGCTAATGGCATGGCAGATTGATGACCTGGAGCCACGTCTGTCGGCTGGCTCAAGCCAAGCCGAGTAAGCCGAGAGAAGTATGTAGTCCATGACCAGCGACCAAGCACAAACCTTGTTCTTGATTGACCAATTAATTGATTGATCAAAAAGTTTAATATAGGATTACCATGAACTGTCACTGGTGAAAAATCTGATTTGCATACAGACGACGGCCCCTGTTGCCTTTTCTTTGGTAATTAAGAATCCTTTTTCAGTCATTAGTAGTAATTAAGATTCTAAACACCTCTAGTGATAGTAAAAGTGTAAAATTTTGGGTCAGATTCCATACCTCTTTAGTGGTTTAAAGGTAAACAATGCAACAAAGAAAGCGATAAGCCATGTAATTATTTACCTCAACTTTAAATTTTTGGCACCAAAAATAGAAGAAAATTTGAGTTGTTGTTGTCAACATAGGCTGGAAGATTCAGAATCGTGCAGTCCAACAACATGTTGGTGTTTTAATAATGGTAGGAATAATGCAATTACATAGATTCGAATTTGAAGAACTATTGTTTATGATGATCGATACCATGTTAAAAGCAATTTATTGATATATATATATATATATCAATTTTTTTTGTAAGTAATTATGAAAAAGTATTATACATATAGGAGAATTATACCTTGCCTAAAATTCTTACGAGACGTTTGGTTCATGGATTAAAATCATGTCATTATAATCATTTTTTATTTACGTGTATTTTTTGTGAGAGAAAACACTGTAACGAACCATAAACCACGATTCAAATCATGGTTTGAATCATCTAACCAAACATCCCCTCAGTTTAGAATATGAAAAAAAAAATCTACAAGTAGTATTTTGTTTTAGACCGTCATATTTACATATTGTCATTTTGTAATTTTTTTTAAGTCTTTTTTTTTTATTATTTTGAAGTGGTTTTGATTATATTTAATTAAGGTTCAAAAACATACACGAATAGTAAGTACCCTAATATACCATCAAAAAGAGAAAAAGAATTCTACAATGTGTCATACATAATTATGAAAAAAGTGTAATAGATATAGGAGTTGTACCTTGTCTAATTTCACGAAAAAAAAAAAAAAAAGAGAATGAAAATTCTTAGATTAGAGTATGAGAAAAAAAAATCTACAAGTAGTTCATATTTATAACAAGTGTTGTCATTTTTGTATAGTTTTTTATTTTCATTTTGAAGTTGTTAGATTTAACGTTTAAAAGCATAAATAAATAGTACGTACCCTGAAAGCTTGTTGGAATATCAACGCTAAAAAGAAGAAAATGATATATAAAATATTAATATATATTGTCTTGTACTCTTGTAGGTTTTTGTCCCATAAATATATATCATGAGAATCCCTAGGTCTAAAAAAGTTTCTGAAGTACCAGGGAATCTATATAGCTCATTAGAATTAACCAATATGGGGAAGAAAGGGAAAAAAAAAAAAAAAAAAAAAAAAAAGTTATCAAGTGAAAATAAAAGAAAGAAAAGAAAAAAAAAAAAGGCAAAGCAAACATAACCCATAGATGGATAGCATGAGGCCGACAGTTTAAAAAGTGAATTATAACTCTAAACACGAAATATGGGCAATAGAAAATCCACGTTTTTTTTTCATCCTTGTCCATCCATTTGTATTATATATATATATATATATATATATATATATACACCGTATAATCTCACACCCTTTTTTTAAAAATATTTTATTAATTAGAATCGGGGAATATTCTTCAGTTAATAAGTTCCTTAACGGCAAAGCTGCAGAGAGAACACATTGCTTTGTATATTGTCTCTGAAAAATCTATCGGTTGGTCATCCTTCGAAAAGAAAAGAAAGATTAAAGGAGAGATGGAAGCTATATATATACTTGCTTGTAGGGCCTCATTGCAAAGATGTTTTTGCCCTCTTTTGTGCTAATGAATGAACTTAGTGAACCAAGGATTTTACATAGAAAATAAGTTTGATTTTAACAATTTTTTGTTAAAGACAAAATATTGAATCATTTTAAAGTGGGATAAGAAAAGAATTATCATAAGAACGATATATTACAATTTATGAGATTTCGTTACACGTGCATATCTTTTAAACGCGGAATTGATTATGGCAAGAATGTGACACTAGAAAAAGCGTATACCATCGGGAAGCATTCCCTACCATGTAATAAAGCTCAAAAACGCTAGACATGGGGAAAGAGGATAAAAAGTGAACGTTCAAAAGAGGAAACGTTGTAAGCAAAAAAGAGGTTTCAAGGCATTGCTTCAATTTTGCTTTGGAATATAAGTAGCGTGCTAATGCCTGCCGTGGACAAGAGCTTGTTCAATCTTGACCATGTCTATCATATGCATAAATAAATACATGTCCAAAGAATCTCAGCCGCCCACTTTACAAATTTGACGTAAATACATACATACATATATACATGTAATTGACCTTTGGACATGAGGCGTAAGAAAACAAGAGTTTATGGATCCATTTCATTAAAAAATTTTAAAATGGGGATTCAGACGTCAAGAAATTAGATCAGTTGGGATCCATTAGTTTAAATTTCCAAAATGAGAGTTTGAGGACCTATTTATCTAAACTTTCATAATGCGGACAGAATGAGAGTTTGGGGATCCATATATATCAAGATTAACTTTTTGGGGACTACTCAAAAGTACAATATATGTAAATATATATAAAATCATTTTGGTTTCTTCTGGAATATTTTGCTGGTACTATATATTTTTAAGACATCTTCACATTTAAAAAGACATTCTTTTAATATTCTGAGACCGAGATTTTAGATATACAATGTCTAGACTGTCATTTTCATTAGGGCTCGCAGATAGAACATATTCTTTTATTAGTCTGTCCTAAGTATTTTTCATATATATATATATATATATAGTATATACACGTACGTGTCATGTATATATAAATGTGGTGGATAACTTGTAAGTATGATTGGCTAGTCATGGAACAGTCTCTCGCTCTCGGTTGCTGACAGTCAAAACTTCAAACAACGAAGTTAGGAAAGCAAAAGTAGCAATGAGCCGTCGGCTATTGCTTTCATGCACGTAAGCGCGAGTTTGCCACTTTCACTAGCTAGATATGGATGTTTAAAAAGCACGAGTGCAGGTTCAAATGATACGTTGTACATTGAATCTTATAACATTATCATATATTTTTCTTTGCTGCCTCAGAATCTACAAGTTAGCCGTTGCTTTTTTGCTTTTCCAATCTTCTAGTTTATTGGCCTTTCGTATCAAATTGTCGGTGGTATAGCTGCCTCTAGAAGAGTTCAATAAATACGTGTGTCAAAGCCCAATTAGTTCTCATTAAAATGGGGTCAAATTTAGCAGGCCTCAAGATTAGTCTGTCCAAAAGATAATGCTTTTTCGTCGTTGGACTTTTTTCAATCGTCCAAAGTCTCCTGAAAACTTAAGCACAGAATGTATCCAGATGGAACGAAGCTTGTGGTCCTTCTTTTTTTTTTTTTTTTTTTTCTTTTTTAAGTTTTCAAATGGCTGTGGAACTGTAAACTTTTGATATAGTTACTAAAATGGTCAATTTAAGGGAAGTAATCATATGTTTATATTTAATTACGTTGAAGATAACATTTTTTAAATTATTTCAGTAACATTTTAAGTTATCATACAATAAATATATGATTAGCTCTATGTAATTTTAAGTATTAAGTGTCAATTTTAAGACTACGGATAAAAAAAGAAAGAAACAAAATTAAGTTCATAAACTAATCCGTTAAAAGGAAAAAAAAAAAAAAAAAAAAAAAAAAAAAAAAAAATTAAAAAAAAAAACCGTAAAAAAAAAAAAAAAAAAAAAAAAAAAAAAAAAAAAAAAAGCTTCTCCAGCTTCTTATTTATTTTCTTTTCTTGCAAAATGTTTCATAGAACTAGTAATTCCTTAAAAAAAATCTGGAGCCCGGGCCAAATATGGTATCCTGAACTCCTGATCCTATCCGGCCTATGGGATATCAAACAATATTGTGGGATCCTGATGTTTAATCGTGTGGCATTCTGGCTTTAAAAAAAAAAAAAAAAAAATCTGCTGTAGTATAGGTGGCACAAATTACTATCAGAAAAGTTTATAGTGAAAAAAAAAACCTTGCCAAATCTCCAAGTATTTTGAGTGCATTATGCAACAACTAAATTTGATCACTTAAGTTTCAGATTCAAGAATACATGTTTCATAAGCTATTCCGTAATATTCATGTATTGTACTTACAAAATTACACATCATGAAAATTCATGATTTATGTTAATATTTCCATGAAAAGAATCATCATAACAATTAAAAAAATGGAGATCAGAAGAACAGGAGATAAAGTATTAAAAAAATGGTGTGGTACATTTGATTCTAGAATTCAATCAGCTACAAAACGATGAGGGAAAAAAAGTTTGCTTGAAAGATTTCGTCACATTACTCACAGTAATCAATCACATTGATTTCTAGTTAACAATTTCCATTGACATATATTATTTGTTATTCCAATACTAAACACATTATATGTACCATAATCACAAATATTTCCCTAACAAACATAAACGATTTCCCATTACGAAAGAACTTATATATAATCACATCATATTCCTTATGCGGTCTCCTTTTGGATTTCCACCTCAAACAATATTGAATCGTCGGAAAGATCATGATCATCATGAGGAGCAGCCATCAAATAATTATCAATGTCGTTGTCATCTCTTGTCTCGATTTTAATGCAAGAGCATCGCTGAAGAGACGCGAAAAAGGCGTCGGCCACGCTATGAAAGAGCCACCGCAGCATTCCGTCCAGCATTTTGCAGCCGCTCGAGGCCACCGGGGCGTGGCTTGCCGCGGCTGTCGATGTCGTCCGCATTGGCCTGAGGGCGTCTAGCTCGTCCTCGACGCGATTGCCTTTGCAGTAACATGAGTTGGTGCAGCCTCTCCATGCAAGGATCGCATCCATATTCGAGGGCAAAAAAGAAAGAAAAAAAGTCCCTAATCAGCTTTGTCGTTTTCAGGAGTCTTTTTAGTTGTTTCAGGGATAATTAAGGTCTAGATAGCATATATGTAATATGTACCTTAGAGGAAAGGTACAAATATAAATAAAATACTAATTAATAGCATAAAACATTATTTGTTGCATGTGAATCTATGATAATACACCTACAATCTGTACGAATCTCGCACAGAATACTTGTTGAAGCCCATGTATTGTTGTTGAATTTCAAAGATGACTGCGTTATATATACGTACAAAATGTAAAGTCGGTTTACTGTCTGTACTGTACATGACTTTAATTCAAATTGGCCATATATACATATATAAATATACACACACTGCTCACGCTAATTTCATGAAGTCTTTATTCTCACAAAAATAAATAAGAAAATAATGAAATCTTTAACTATATTAGATTGCTGGACCTACCAGTCATTTATTATATATGACAAAGGAGAATAAGGAAAAGGGATAGCTTTATGCTAAATTACTTGAAGAATTTACACTAGAATCTAAAGCAGAACCATATACTTTGGTATCTACTTGTGATTTGAAGCTATACTTTGCCTCCTATTCAATTCAAGGATAAATGAAAAATGAAGTTTTAACTTATATATATATATATAAAAGAATTAAGTACAAGTGAGATATACCCGCTATTGATGGGAAATGGACCTTAAATTCCTTTCAAAAAAAAAAAAAAAAAAAAAAGACCTTAAATAAGCATTTTGTAAAGAAATTGAGATCTATACTATTGTAAATTCAACGATGAGGCATCGGAGCTATAAAAGAAAGAAAGAAAGAAAGAAAAAAAACTTGTATTTTTATTTTCACCTATTAGAAAATTGTGTTTATATTATTAATTCGTCTTGGGTTCCATCTTGCAAAGGCCAGCTAAACTTGTTAAGTGGAGTTATATAATATCCTCACTAAGTCTATAGTTGTTTTTATATTTGAATGGTTTTTTACCTTTTATAATCTGAACCCTTCAATATTATTTCATTCTTTTTCTAAAGCTATAACATTTCTCCCAGTTTTACTATTTTTTTGCTTTGCAATATGCACTACATTGTTCACTTTCGATCTTTGTGATAAGATTATATTTCGAGACTCTAAAACGTTATATCAACGAATATTTAAAAATTTATTTAAATAGTTTACATGTTTTCCGGGATTATTTAGAAATCTAAATAATGGTAAAAAAGAAGTTATTTCTCAATAATAATAATAATAATAATAAAAAGAAACAAAAGCTGAAATTAACGAGAAATTGGTTATAATTCTCAGTAAAACTCCATTTACAAGCTAAAGAGCTAGACAAGGGAAAGCAGTTAGCCATCTTGCTCAATATCCGAGTCCGCCTTCTCAAACGCCCAGAACAGAGTCTATAATCACTCATTACAGCTCAACGACACTAAAAAATGCAAAGTATATTTTGTTGCATTCTTTGTGTCGTTTGTTACAACAAAGTCTAGTACTGTCGTTGGGCTGTAAAGGGTGGTTTTACCCAAAATGGTGTGTCGCATAGCCGAGTTCTGTTCGCAAGCATTTTCAAGTTTTTAAAAAGTAGGTCAACCATAATATTCTGGGGTTAATTACACAAACATCACTTCTCTTATAGGTGACAAGAGAAATACTAGCACTCTTCTCTTTCTTTTAAACATACCACTTTCAGCATTTAAAATACCAAAACTATCCAAAACAAACCCTAACCTCAACTTCTTTCTCTTCTCTTTATTGGAGCCGTATCCTCATTCCCCAGACACCGATCCTAATCTCTAAAACCCTCCCCTATCGGTGGAGAAGGTAGAGGGATCATCCTTGCACAAATTATCATTTTGATGTTCAACCTCAGAGCTCCCCCCTCTGAACTTTCTTGCAAGTTTGGTTGCACTAGTGAGATCGATCACCAACTTGGTTGCAGTAGCGAAATCTTGTTCGCCTTTGTTGTTGCGTCAAAAAGAGAGGAAAGAGAAATAGACTGGGATTTTTAAAATAAAAGGAGCAAAATTTACTTTTTAGTATACATGAATGACCTGTCCTAAACTAATCAGAGAAATTGATACGAGTGTGTAACATGCATGAGACCTAATTTTCTTCGGTTTTAAAGAGGACTGCCACAGGTTTTAGGTTTAGATTGACTTATACTAGGGGATATAAACTATTGTAAAAAATACCACAGTCACATTATCAAGCTATATTTAGAGTATCAAATATACTCTTAAGATACCGATCGGTATCCGGCAATGATACAGTATCCAATCGAGATACTCGTCACTACCCGATTGATAACCGCTAGTATCAGTAGCAATAATCAGCGAGCAACCGTCGGTAACTAGTGACTGATGTGATACCGGACGGTTACTGATTGGTAACCGCCGGTATCCACCTAAATACTAATATCCACCACTGATACTGGTGGGTATCCAAGACGATATCAGCTGAAAACAACCAATAACGGCAACACTATGACCGTTCCTGTTTCCAAATCATAAAAGACTGGTATTTATCTTATCTCATAAATTTTGATTAACATAAAACATAAAACTTAGATATAGAGATACTAAGGCTTTGTTTGGTATGAGGGTTGGAACTAAGGTGATTCTGGTTTTAATTTTAGAATCAGAATCATGATTTATAGTTTTGTATCTAATCATAATTCTAGAATTAAAATCAGAATCAGAGATTTGAACCAACCTAAAATCAATAGGAGAGGTAATTTTAAAACCAGGGGAGGGGAGAGGTAGTTTTAAAACCAGAGGTGGTTCTGATTTAAAATATCACATCAGAATTCAAATTTTAAATCAAATCTACTCAAATCCAACACTAATTTTTAAACCTTAAACCATAACTATTTTTCACTTTTTACAAACAAATAAGGATTTGAATCAGAATCAGTCTGGTTCTAGAACCCTCGAATCAAACTCTACCTAAACTTTCTATCTTTTAAACCAAATTTCTTCCTATGGTATGGATCACATGGGTTCAATAACCTTCAACCAGCATTTCTTGCCATTATCAATCAAAATTATTCAAAATCCTCAAAGCCATCACCGTTCTTATCCACGCCTTGATCATTCTTCTACAATCTCCAAGACTGCACTTCTCGCATCCAAGCTTGACCAGAACCCGTCGCAACTCCTCGGCCGAAATCTTCCCGTTCTTGTCAATATCAAAAACCAGAAAAGCATCCACGTGATGTTCATTGTCTTCCCTGCCACCACTGCTCGATATTCCAGCAGAAGCAGCAAGTATTGATCACTACATCCATGAATTAATCCAAGTCAACAAATCCATCTCCATTGCAATCCATTTCTCTCACCATTCCTTTGGCTTCCTTGGTGGCAGTGGAATTATTGTACGAAAGGCACAACAACACTTGACTGAGCTCAGAAGGGGAAATTTTGCCGTCCGCATTTTCGTCGATGATCTCAGAAATTTGGTTTAAAAGATAAAAAGCTTAGTATCTAAAATGGTATAAAGTTTAGAAATTCTCAGATCTCGCGACGTCATTGGTGGCAATGAGGTCGCGTCTCGTCGGAGATCATGACGATCTTTGCCGATCTGCAAAACGGAGAGCCGATGGCGCCGGAGATTGCGCCGCCGCGAATGTGGCGTACTAAGTCACACGATTGAGAAATTATCTGGAGGATCGGCGAGCCAGAGACGGGGAAATCTTCGGAAATGGTTTGCGATCGGGGATTTGGACCGTGATTGGCGTACGGATGATCGGAGAAGGAAGGCTCTAAGAACTTGTTCATTTCACTTCGATTCGAGTTTTCAGTTTTAGATTTCTATAGTAAAAAGTTCTCATAAAATGTTACATCTAATTTTTTCTGCTACATTAAAAAAGTCTCAACTATATCACATCTCAGCTCGAATTGAAAACTTAAATCTGAGAAGTGAAAAGTAAATCGTTCAGTTTACGGATTTAAATTTTCAATTCGAATTAAGATTTAATTTTATATGTGAGTTTTTATTATAGAAGAAAAAGTTAAGGTCTCATTTATTTTACTGATTTGAATTTATAATTTAAATTTTATTATAATAAAAAGTTTTCAGAAATAATCACATTTGTGATTGGATTAATTTTAGGGAGAAAGAGGGAAATATTAAATAGACTAAGACTTGAGATTAATTAAAATTAATAGGTCAATAGTTTACATAAGTTAATAAATAAGCCAAATTACTATTTTTATCTATAACTTATCTAGTTATGAACCATAACTTGACAAATTATTGTCCATAATTCACGGTTTTTATCTATAACTTGTCTGGCTATAAACCATAACTTAACAAGTTTGTTCATAATTTATCTGGTTATGAACCATAACTTGACAAGTTATGACCTATTAATTTCTATAACTAAAAATTGACCTATATACTTTCTTAAACTTTTCATATAGGCTTATTTTCTATTATTTCTGTTAATTTTATAGATGTCCTCTGATTCTTTGAATTTTGAAAAGAGTTCAAAATGTCGCCCCTTAGTGGAAACAAGATATAAAGTTCTGGAGTCATTTATAAAATTAATCATTTGTACTTTTATTAGGGAGTTTGTTTCTTTGACTCACTTTCTTTTAAAAAAAAATTCCTTTAATCTTCTCAAGTCATTTATAATGAAAAAAAATATCGAAAAGCTTTCATTGTTTTTAAAAAATATATATATCAACTTTTTATAATCCATAGAAAAAAGACAAATTTTGAGGACATCAGATTCACCTGAAAAAATTAGAGAAATACCGCTTTTAGACATGTGAATTTAAAATATAACGCTTTTGTTGAAAAAAAAAAAAAAAAAAAAACCTAATTTTAAAGTCAGAGTGATACAGAAGAATAACTAGAGATTGACCTTTATTGACCATTTTTAAACTTTTTTTTAACTATCTTGTTTCTCGAAATAGATGTGGACGATCACCAGACATCCTTCTTCATAGAGTCCCAAACACCTCTTTAAGGACGTGGGAGACTACAAACGTGGGTTTAATTTCTTCATTAGTTTTTTAACACAC